GCATTAGGCCATGAATGTAGAATCAAGATAAGAGCTACAACAAAAGCTGCCAGTTTTCTTGAATGGCACTTCATATTGTGGTGCAGTAAGTTACATACAAGGGCAATAACTGATCAAGAAATATGAGGTTTGCTTAAGGTAATAGATAATCAAGATTTGGTAATGAGATTTATATTTGTATGTTGAAATTAATTAAATGCAGTGAAGGATCCGATGCTAGTGGGATCATGTGATGTTTGCTCATTTGACTGTATTTAATATATTGAGACTCTGATATTTCCAGATTAGTTGTGATAGTTTCAGAGTGATCATGTGGTGTGGCACGTGCTAATATTGTTTACTAGTGAAGTGGTTTACTATATAATTTTAGCTCTATATCTCGAGACATTTGTATTCTTGCATTAACAATTGATTTGGTTATATAGCAATCCATTTAGAGCTAAATAATACTACTGAAATCTAGAGGAAGGTTCTGTGCTAATTGGTAGTTTTTCACCCAGCTAAAATTCTGTGCTTCCATTTTGTTTTATTTCCCGGATCAGTTGTGGATGTAGGATTTTTATCCAGGGACTCGAAAAAAAAAACACACACACACAAAGAGGGGCAAATTATGATAAAAAGATAATATTTCCGTCCCCTAGCTCCGGCCCTCTCCCGAATCAAGTTATTCGGCTAGTAAATTATGATAAGAAAAATGTGTTGCTCTTGGTAAATGATACTGATACCCACAGTTTTTGACTTAGAACCCCTTGTCTTTTGAAATCTTTTTAGCTTATTTTTAATTACTATTATTTATAATATCTGCTAAGTAGTATTTTTGAAATTATAGTGAGAGTGAATAGGTGTTAACGCATTAAGAGTGCTAGTGAGTCAAAAGATGCTCTTAATTTTAAATTCTGCGATTGCAGTCTTGGAAATGTAACTCACTTGTTATTTGGCTATATAATGATGATGATTATACTAATACTATATTTTAGGAAGAACAACAGAGACGGAGAGAGAGAGAGAGAGAGAGGGTGGGGTGGGAGTAGTGAGAGTCCTGAAAATAGCGTGACTGGACAAGTGCGGATCCAGATGGAGCATACAATAAACCTTTATGGTCCGTTCCTTCTCCGGACCCCGCGCATAGCGGGAGCTTAGCGCACCGAGCTGCCCTTTTTTATGGCTTTAAAATGAAACTCAATCAGAAAGTGTGATAACGAATAATGCAATCAACAAACACTACTAGAAATTCGGCAAAAACCGACCAACTTTGGTCGGTAAAATTGGTCGGTTTTCAAATATTTAATTTTAAT